GTTAGTGATTRTCATGGCGTGACRGTTCRTCGCCTCGTTGTATTCCATTTTATACTTAATTGATCATATTACTCTCAAATTCCTACTTCATAGACTTAATAAATGCTTTTAAAGGAMGAWTTCAAGGTGAGGTAGCGAAATACAGAATGATTTGAGTGTTTTTCTCCGTGAATTTTCACTTCCGGCGGCAAGCTGTTTATTTTATGAGACAATCAGAGAGCGAGAAATTTTCGAAATTTCCAGAGTCACTGTTTTTCGTCGAGCCTGTGAGCCTGCGAGTAAGAGGGACAGTGGCGCTGGGTACGAGATTGGTCCGGTGTTTGATATTTCCAGAGCTCTTGTTTTTCGTCGGGCATGCGCAGTAAGAGGGACAAGGGCGCTGGGTACGAGATTGGTGTCGAAGAAGTAGTGCTCTTCGAGTCGGCGGTAGAAAATGCCCAGTCATTTCTGCACGAATCATCCACTAATCTTTAATTATATACCTCAATCCATGTCGTTTGGATGGTAATCAGTTGATTTTGTAAGATTTTCAGCTCTTTAGAGCATTTTAGCTACATTAGAACCATTTGAAATGAGACGAACTTTTTGCCGCCGTCTGTCAGCCATTTTGTTGTCATTCTGAGACTGCAGTCCATCTGCAACGCAGGCGCTACCAAAAATCGCTGATTGGTTTATTTTGACATCTCCATGGAAACTGAGACTGCAACGCATGCGCTATCGATGCGCTACCAATTTGAAGCGTAATATTCACCACGACGAAATCGCCAGTAACTARCCACGCGGTCTTCCAGCGGGCAAAACGGCAAATTTTGAGCAATCGAGAAGATCTATACCGTTCATTCTTGCATAAAATATTCAGGGCCGTAGCCAGAGTGAACAGACAACCGAGGCAAGAGACCGCCAAAGGCAGGAGGAACTAGAAGGTTCTGGGGGCATTCTGCCCCTAGAAAATTTGAAATTCAGTCTCTCAGAAATGCGATTTGCAGTGTTTTGTGGACCTTTTGGTAACTCCCTTTATTGAACGGCCGGAATTTATCATGTAATATTTATGAAACAAAGAAGCTACACGTACAAAATTGCTATTATTTTTTTTGCACAAAATCAGTCATACGAAATTGGCTCTGAGAGGCTAAGATGATATTAGTGATGAAGAACAAAAAGCATCGGCAAAAGTTTACCGAGGCGAGTGCCTCGGTTGGCCTCTTACTAGCTACGGCCCTGATATTGTTTCAAGATAACAAAATATCTATCTGAAAATTGTGCGTAGAAAGGATGTTTTTCCGGGAGAAAGAACGTTGGAAATACATTCGGAAATGTATTTCCGACCTCGCTGAGATATGAACCACACGGTCCGCATATTCGTCATATAGGTATTAATCGGGAGACGGATACGAACACGTAACATTATCATATTACTGTCACATTTTATTTACATCTCGCGTTAATTCATGGGCATCTAAAGTTCGATCAAAGCAGCTCCGCAGTTGAACACTCTTCTAGTTGACCAGATATTTGATCTGATCTGTCTGTATAGAAACCCCCCCCAAAAAANTTTTCTCAGTCAGATTGAATTTTTTTTCAAAAGTTTCTTTAAAACCTGAGCTAATTTACCTTAACGTTTCATAAGTAATATACAATATTCGTGTGCGATCTGTATGAGGTTTAAAACAGCTCGCTTTCAGCTCGCTGTTTTAAATCCTCATACAGATCGCCCGCTCATATTGTATATATTACATAAAGAAAACTATAAAATTTTATGATATTCTGCTGAAATATCCAAATTTGATTTTGTTTGCACCCTGGAGGACCGCATATATAATTTGTGTTACAATAATAAAAACCATCATTTCGTCTGTCGTGAAAAAAAGCTATTACTTCGCCTCTCAACAGGTATTAATGCATGAGCTAGAAATAATAGAAAGTTATAGTGTTAGAAAGGATGTTTTTCCGGGAGAAAGAACGTTGGAAATACATTCGGAAATGTATTTCCGACCTCGCTGAGATATGAACCACACGGTCCGCATATTCGTCATATAGGTATTAATCGGGAGACGGATACGAACACGTAACATTATCATATTACTGTCACATTTTATTTACATCTCGCGTTAATTCATGGGCATCTAAAGTTCGATCAAAGCAGCTCCGCAGTTGAACACTCTTCTAGTTGACCAGATATTTGATCTGATCTGTCTGTATAGAAACCCCCCCCAAAAAAACAATCAATTAACCAACAAACCTTCAATCAATCAACCAACCAATCAGCGGCAACACTTCACCCAACCAATAAACCAACTAAACCTCACCCAATTAACCGACTAACCAACCTTCAACCAACCAAACGAACAAACTTCAATCAACCGACAAACCTTCAACCAACCAGCCAACCAACAGACCGACCAACCCTCACCCAAACAACCAACCAACCAACCTTCAACCAACCAACCAACCGATCAACAATCAGCCAATCAATCAAAGAGTATTAAGCATTAAACTTCTTAACGCTCTCATAAATTTTAATTGTCATGACTATTTCAAAACTGCACCGAACATTGATTATATTGTAATAATATTCTACATTAAATCTTCTTGTTAAACGGCACGGCACTTGTTTTCAGGAAATGCATATATACGTAAGAGTTCGTTACCGAGAACGCAGGCATTACGCTATATACAGCCCGAGGGCCGCAGGCGAGGTACAGTAACTAACAAACTTAGTTTTCAATTCACGTGGTTTTCGCAAAAACTGAATAGACTTAATGAATGTCTTCTTAGTTGGGTTTTGAACAATAGAATCCTCTTCTCTTGAGACTTTTTCATGGACTGTTGAAATTAGTTTCCTTTAAGAAAACCTGTTCATGCGAAAGCGAGCAATCGAAATTTGAATATTRCTATCAAATATTCTTAGCAGTCATTCTGGAAACGATGTCGAACAGTGACGATTTGTTTATAGCTCAAAATACGTTTGACATCATTCCTTTGACGAACTTTGATATTGACGATTTGCTATCGGATTTGGAACTCCGCATGCTTCTTCCCGCAAATAACGATGACAAAGCCTGCAGATGGGAAAAAATGAGAAAAATTACAATAGTTTTTGATGTTGAACTCGCTCGAAAAAATACGAGGGAAGGATTCAAGAAG